GGAACCGTCTGATGGGGGAACGTGGCTCGACCTAACACCGGTCTCTGTTTAATGGYGGATGAAATAAAGAAAGTGGCGGTATTTTATTTACTTTGAGCAAGCGAACGTCGTGTTCACAAGATAATTAATCCACCAGATAATTCAGAGGAGGTCTGTTCGGTAAATTTTACTCCAGGAGCTGCGAGGCTTGTTTTCAAGCTTCAGACTGAACTGAAGCAGCGGCTGCTGACGTCATTACGCTGTTGCGCGATGCTGCGTTCAGGACAAACTTGGAAAACTCACCACTCTTATGCCAATACGGTCGCAATGATGCATTTAGGTACCGAAATGGAATTGCATGAACATTCACATGGTGGTTATGTAATACAGCGAATCGATAATAAAAAAAATCTGCGTCGACAAATTTACATGATCGACGTCATCGATTATTTCAACTAATCGGTGCAGCCCTATTTGAATGTAAGGTTTTCCAACAGATCAAGCTTAGACTGAACTGTCAGAATAAAATTAACTGATTGTGTTTTCTGTCATTCTTTAGATTCCAGCTTAACTTTTACTGGTCTTCCTGAAGGTTCCCCAGATGCTCTACAAATATAAAAGGAGTTTGGATTTCAAAGCCATTGTTCTGTAAATAGTTCTTATTTCAATTTCATCACTTTGCAGACACAAGTTTCCACCTTCTGTCCCACTAACTTCTTTAAAAAGATGCTCCATGTTATTTTAAACGTTAAGACTTAAAACATCAAAATTATTTTAATTTTTTTTTATCTAAAGTGAGTCTTAGAAAAAATATGGAAAAAATGTTAATATATAATCTTATAGAGCAACTTCAGATTTTTTCCCAGAACTGTWTGTTGACTCCTTCACATTACTGTACATTAATGGGTTGCAATTTATCATTTATTGTATGAAGTTAAGCCAAATGTCTCTTCTGTTTCTCAAGAATCATTTTTCTCAGAAGTTTAAYACAAAATCTGCCTTTTTAGACAGACATAGTTGGAATCTGTCCAAACTACTTTTTGTAAAGCTGTCATGTAAACAGTGCTGCTGAGGAAAAAAAAAATCACATCAAATTTCATATATGTGATCATATAACAAGAAATAACTTCTAGAAGTTTATAAATAACTTTAGTGCTCCTTATAAACCCTGCTTTTTCTTCCTGAAAATGGTTCAAGAAAAAAAAAATCATGTCATTCCACTTTATTTGCATAACCCTGTCCTGCTTAAAGCAGGGGAGTCACCAAGTGATCCCAAAATTAGCATGCTGTCACCTTCACTGTCTCTTCTGTCATTCAGATAAACAGGCAGCTGTGCAGACGTATGAACCCATTTCCCATCAGCTGCATGCAGAAATGTTAATCAGGAAGCATCACGCAGCTTCAGTTCTCTCCCACCGCCTAACTGACACGTATTTAAATCACTTTCATGTGCCCTTTTTATAGAGATGAAAACACACGAGTGACGGAAAGTGTCATCGTCAGCATGTTTGTTTTTAAAATGCATGGGGGGGGGGGGGTGTAAATAAAGCTAAAATTTGCAAACAAACTAAATGCACACATAAGCCATTTCTCTGGCGTCCAGCCAGGAGTTAGATGGGAAATAAAAGCATTTATAATTAATTTGACTGCATAGGCAAAGACATAAATAATGTGAAAGATGTGAGTAAAATCTTTAAATATAAGACATACATCTTTTCTAGTTGTCTGTTTGCACATTCAGAGGAATTTCTCTCATCCACAGGCATGCCAAGGCAAATTCTATTCCGCTTATTTTTTATGTATCTGTGTAATAATTTTCAGTACAAATAAAACTTTAATTTCTTTGCTTTAGCTTTTTGGATGCCTCGGTTTTAGTGTTTGGATGGGCGAGACATCTCTATTGATGAGGAAACAGTGCCCCCCTGTGGCTCCTGTGGGGAAGTGACCACTAAGAGGAACGATAACCAAACACTTACTTTCGAAATTAAAGATAAAGCCGATTGAATCGGAACATGAAACTTCAAGAACATCGTTTGCCTTATCTTAAACAAATATTCTGATAGAGCTATCAACATTCAGAGCCACTCTGGCAACCAAGATAGTAGGTAAACGCTCACACAGAGGCATGATGAAACACACATGTAACAGCGATTAAACATCACTGCTGTGTTGGTGGACTGAACATGAAGACAGACATCTGGAGTTCAAAGGCGAGGGCTGAATAAAAACCAACAAATCCWCTTCAAATGCACACAGACTTATAAATCAGTGCATCAAATGATGCCCTTGAGTCCACAAGTATAAAATCCAACACAGAGCAGCACGTTTTCCACAAAAAAATATTTTATTCTCTGCAAAGGAGGCATCAGGAGCATCGGTGTGTGTGTGTGTGTGTGTGTGTCCTATGGCTTTGTGTACAGAGTTCCTGCAGAAGACTAAATTCACAGAACAAGCCCTTGGGTGAACTGCGAGCTCCACCCATGTTGATCGAGGAGGAATGTTTTTGAGGCGGCTACTCTGCAGCTGTTACAGAACACGCTCTTCTTAAGCAGTGAGCACAGTGTTTGAGCTTCAAGTGTGAGAGAGGGGGCGTCAGGGTGGGGGGATGCTACTGCACACGTATGAGAGGAGCAGTGTGCGACCCCTGCAAGGCAGTGACAGAAAATCTGCAGAAATCAAGCAAACTCCTCTGTGATGTGACAGAAACGTAATGCTGCTGACATTTTAGATTACAAATGTTATTTTGGAGGAAAACCTAGTAAAAAAAAAAAGCCCTAAATTGTTTTTTGTTTCAGAATCCTTAATCGTCGTCGATTTTGCCCTTTTGCGGCACCTGAAGGAGTTTTATTCATTTTAATGCAGCCTGGAGAAAAACCTGAATGCTGTCAACGCCTCATTGTTTTAATGCTCCATTGTTTTTGATAAACTAGTGGAAGAACTGACATTCTACACATGGGCACAGTCTAGTAAGCCATCCTCACACAAGAATGCGCAGATTCGTCCCAGATTTCAATTCATCTGCTACTTGGTTCGGGACAACTTGACTCATCTACGCACAATAGAATGTACAAAATTTGGCAGACAGCGTGATTATATTGTTCGCATTGAGCCTCTGCTGTAATCCCAGGCTGTCAACATTCCATCATAGCAGCAGTTTGTGGTTACGATTGTTTACAGAAACACTTTGGATTGGCTGCTGCCTCTCGCGTGTGGAGAGAAAAGATCTTATATTTGGTATAATCTCTGGATGCTGCTGAGAATGTGCCCAGGTTCGACAGTGAACAAATCGCTGGATCAGACTCAGGCTGGGATAAAGCTAACAAACAGCACAGAATGAGCTTGATAGCAAGCAGGTGTTTTTCTAAACCCACCAATGTCGTCTTAAACCGCGAGCGAGCCTCAGCTAAACTAGGAAAGCGGGTCATATAATTATAGCAGCACCAGTGAGGAGTCGCTGTGTTCCCATACATTCATTGTGAAACCCTGTGACCTTGTTTTCGTTCCCGTGTTGACTCTGTCAGCATTTTTCGGTGGTGGGACAAGATCATAAAAGGGGGTTTTTGGGTGAGATGATGCAAGCACAGTCCAACCCACCCTCACATGTATTCACACATGCACTCTCACGCACATTACATAGGAAGGAGAAAAATATATTAACATTTGCATTAGAAAAACATTAAAAGGGACACAGTGTAGTAAAATACCACTTGTGTTAGAATCCATGTGGGCTGTCGTTTTCTTATGATCTGTATGTAAAACTATCTCGTCTTTACCTTCAACAAAATATATATATATATATATATATTCAAATTTTAGTAAAAACATTCCCACTGTTTGTTGGGATTTGAGGCACTGGAGTTTGTCTCTGTACACAAAAAGCTCCTGAAGTTTGATTGGTGAATGGAAGCCACTTTAAGTGAGTTGGATTCGGATGCCTTTAATAGCTGACGGCCAAGAGGAGCAGATGGGGAGTTTTAAACCCCAAGTTTCTCCTGGCTTTTCTCCCAGCCAACAGTCCAGCTGTCTGGCTCTGTGGAAACTTTGTCACTTTTTTAAATTCTCAACTAAACCTGATCAACCTTGTTTGCTGGAGTCAAATTCAGCTCATTCCTTGAATCATTGCAGTTTTACAGCAACCTGATGGAAGCCCAGCAGGTACTGGGTGGGACAGCTGAAACAGTTTTTCATTCTAAAGGAGTCCATACATTTCTTGTTCAGTTGTGCTCCTCGTTGTTTATCACAGTAGCCATCCAAATAGCCAAAAAGGCTCTCAGTTTGCCATGTTCAGTTTTCACAGTAAATGAACATACTTGTTTCCAAGGCGGGCTTACACAAACAAAGGAAAGCACAAAATGATCGGAACAGGTTCCCAGCACGTTCCGGTTTTCCTCTTCGCTCAGTCCACCGGGCCCTGGAAGATGAGCTTGGACCAGCCCTGAGTCGGGCTGAGCTGAGTGGCGCAGAAGGGGCAGGCGGTGTGGAAGGCGTGGGTGCCATGGGGAAGAGGGATCTCCGACCAGTACTTGACCGACTTCTCCGAGCACACGTGTCCGCACGGCACGAAGGCGTGCGTGGGAGCGCCGGTATCCACGTAGAACGCTGGCTCGCAGCCCAGCCACAGCGGGACGTAGGGACCCACCACTCGGCACATGGGACACTCCCGCTGATTGTTGGGCTCCTGCTCTGAGCGGTGACCCCAGTTGTGGTAGCCATGCACGTGGCCGCATGCCAAGTAGACCCAAGGCTGCTTGTCCTCTAGAGACGAGAGGACTCGACTGCGCTGCATGCTGGGAAATGCCAGGGTATTAAGACCTACGGGGCACTGGGGCCGTGCAGCATTGATCTCCTGCCTCAGAGCCTCCAGGTGCTTCTGGGTGGGAGTGTGAAAGAGACCCTCAGCGGTGCGCCATAACAAAGTGGCGCCACACAAATCCACCAGGGAGCCGTCCTGCAGGATGTTACTCTCATTCTCCACCTGTGAAGGGCAGAAATACTCAGCAAATACCGCTCGTTTCATGTAGTCTGCTGTAAACGTGTACTGCATGTTTGAAACTACTGACCAGTTTTCCAGGTGTTTGTGCTGAGCGGGTCTCCCTCAGCGTATACACATCTCCACAAACAGAGATCTCTCTCCACACGCCGGGCTTGGACTCTTCCGTGAACCCCCCCTTAGGGTGCATTACCAGCACCCCATTGGTTGTTAGGCCATCCATGTGACCATCGGGGTTTTTCCACTTTGCAGCTTTTTCCTGCAGAAAAAGAAAGAACAAAAGTTATTTTCTTTTTATCTAAAGGATTAAAAACTAAAAAGAACTAAACTTGTAATCTTACAGAGATACCGTAGAACCACTGTGGTACACTAACTAGTAATTACCCCCAGAAAGATGTTTTTGGAGGAGTCGAACCCAGCTGCGTAGATGCGAGCAGTGTAGGGCGGGTTGCGTTCACACACAACTCTGCAGGCAAAGCGGGAGATGGTGCTCTGTGTGATCGGYGTCTCCTCTCCCTCCGGGCCTCCTGCTACTGTATCAGTAACCACAAAGTCTATGGGACTCTCAGTGGAACGTCCAATCTGCAAAAAAGTATGAGTAATCCATCATCATACTAAACAATACATCTTTTACTGTCACAAGATGATGAGCTTCTTCTCAATTTYCAGACATTCAAGTTTGATTGTGAAATGTTTGAAAAAAAAAAAAAACATGACTTTTTATTACTAAATGTTATTTCAAAGCAGCTGAATCACAGTACAGCTTCCTATTTTAGAACTGAGACCAGTTTGTGTAGAAATGAAAAATTGTTTTAAAACCAGCTTATATTGCATTCAGTTATTATACAATATTAAACACTGCAAGTTAACCCTGCTTTAAAGATTTCAGGACCAGAGAAGGCTGTAGCAATACTGTACTGTATTGTGCTTTTTTCTGCTTTTTTTACTTGAGTTACATCTCATAAAATTTGTTTAATGTAAATGACAGTAGATGTTGTCACTAGCTTTTGCAAACACAAATATTCTTCCCTTTTTAGCTGCAAAGAGACAGCTTGAGAAACCAGCAGTGAATTCAGAAATAAATAAAATACGTTACTATATCCATGAAGTGAAACATCCCCCCAGTTACTGTATTTCTAAGATGCTATTTAACCCAGCAACATGACTGACCAGTAAGTTAAGTGACTGCAGTCCTTTTTAAAAAACATTTTTGCCATCATGTTCAAAAACCTCTCACTTTAATATTCTGTTTCTACACATTTACTTTTAACATTGACATATACTAAAGTAAAAAAAAAACACTCCTCAGTCTGAACAGGGACTAAAAAGTATTTCCTACTTTCATTTCCTCTTTTTTCTCTTTACATTTCCCAAAGTCTTATTTTTGAGCAGTTTTCTACTCTTCAGTGTGTTTTAGTGTTACTCACAAACACTTTGAGAGGATATATGGCTGAATGCAGAGCACGTTTCCATCTTATCACTTACTGTTCTTATATTCAGATTATCAATACAGACAGAAACAAGCTGACAGCACAGACAAGACTCGCACTAACTGAAGAAGTGTAAGGTTCAGGGAGGGAAACTATTTTGTTTTAAACAAAAATACAACTTTTTAAAAATACTTAAAGGGGACCTATTATGCAAAATTCACTTTTTAAAGGTTTTTTTTACTCAACTTTGGGTACGTACTTCTTAAAAAAACTGTCCTAGGACCAAAAAAATGCACTCAGGAGCATATTTACTGTGAGTAAATGTATTTTTAATGTATATTAATGACAAGTTTTATACTTCCTACATTTTGTGATGTCACAAGCCGTACGACAAACCATCGCATCCTGCGTTCAGCCCCTCACCTAGCAACCCCAGGTGAGGCTCCACCGCCTCAGTATAAAGAGCCGTCACGGTTGCTGTTGTGCAATGCGCAGCTCAATTCACAACAAGCCTCCAATAGGACAATGGGTAGAGTGTTGGACCAGAGAGCAGGAGACCAGGTTTGAGACCGGCACGGACACAATTTAATTATTTATTTTTGTTCGTTAAGAACACGTTTTCTCATGTACCTCTATTATTTAGCTTATTAAAGCCTTGCTAAAGCCTATTTGTTTGAGTTTCGGAGGTATTTTGACCTCTGCTGCTCCCTGCTCTGGTAACAGCATGCAGAGTGAGCGCAGAGCAGAGGAGGGGGAGAAAAAAAAAGCTGTGACCACGACTCTGCCTCTGGGTCTGACTCAGGGTCTCATATATACGGTTGTACAACGGAGCTTCTGCTATTATTAACCATGCTAACGCTGGCTTTGGAGGGCGGAGTTAATGGCTGTGTCCAAAACGGCAGGACGGGTCCTCCGGAGGACCCAGACTCCCCGGTCTCGGAGGGCCGGGTCCTTGGTAGACCGGGAAGACCGGAAAAAAAGAGTCTGTGGATTTGGACGGTCTAGCCTCCCCTCCTTACCCCGGCGTACGTCTTGTCACCTAGCAACTGTGACGACGCTAAACAAGCAATCTTAAATCAAAACTAGAAAAATATCAATACATTAGCATTATTAATATCACAAAACTATGAAATTAACTTAAAGGTAACATTTGAAGAACTAATTGACCCGCTGTGGGTTCATGTTTATTTCGCGTTTTTTATGACGAAAAAATAATATTTAAAAACATGTCCATACAAATGATAAAAGTATTAGAATTACAACCGCTAATTTTTTTTAATTTTTAAATCACCATATTTTTATTTAAAATGTATTCTTTTCTCTCGCTTCGTCCGCCATTACTAGCTTAAAAAAAAATCTCCGGTCGGGCCGCAATGCATTATGGGATATGCTGGGCCGGGAAGGATCCATCGGACCTGTCCTTCGATTCGGGGAAAAAGGACGTATTTGTCGGACGCATCGGAGGAGTCTTCCGTTTTGGACGTCCTTCGTCGCGGCGCTGTGACGTATGCGGCCGACAAAGTCGACCTTCGGAGGACCCGTCCTGCCGTTTTGGACACAGCCAATGTCAACAGATTTTTGGAGGGCATTACCAACAGAGCTCATTAACATAAACAGCTCTTCTGAACAGATGTCAGAACAGGCAGAACTAGAAAATGGGAAATTTTATTATCTGAGAATTATTTTTGCATTAAATTGAATGAACATGGTCTGGATAGCCCACAGACATACCATAAAAATTTCTAGGACCTATAATTGGTCTCCTTTAAGTTTTTGTTGTAAAAAAAAATCCAAAGGTTTTAAATTGTTGGTTAGGAATAGGATCATGTGCTTTGTCATGTAGAATACTAAACTGCATACATACTGTATTTGTAAATACTGAAATGTAAAAAATAAAAAAAGCTTAAAGGCTAAATTTAAAGCAATTTTAATCAGCTATTTTCAGCTCTATTTTATTTGCCTTTATTTAACCAGGCAAATCTCATTGCAAATCTCTTTTGCAAGGGAGGCCTGGGCCTGAAGGCAGTCTAACACGCATGTTTCTGTCTGTGGGAGGAAACCGGAGTTCCCAGAGAAAACCCACACAAACATAAGAAGAACAAGCAAACTCCACACAGAAAGACCCCAGGTCCGACCCAGGGATCAAACCCAGGACATTCTTRCTGTGAGGCATCAGTGCTAACCACTGAGCCATCATGCGGTCAGACAACAAAATTCTATTGAAGCTGGATTGAAAGTAAGGATTAGTTGAGGATTTTTTTTTAAAGATTTGGAAGTATTCTTCTAACACTTAACTGTATAAATGAACTGATATTTACCTGAAACATGTCTGTGTCTTTATCATGGCTGTACTCCACCACCACCGTCTGGTGCCTGGACAGTGTGTAGGAGATGCTGTGTTGGCCTTTACAGTTCACAGCCTGGAAYAGGACAACGCTTTAATAACATATCACACATTGTGAAACAATATAATAAAGACATTAACACTTTACTTGTGTAAAAATAAAGACAGAGCAACCAAGTTTTAGTGAATTCTCAAGATAATCCTCTTGTTAATGGCTTTAACGTGCAAACAATCTGCCACTGGGTCGTAAACAGGAACTTAAATACAAAACGTCTCACACAATCAGTGTGTGTTAAATTCAACACAAAGACAAAACTAACCTCTCCGTGTAGACATAAAACAAAGAAATGGTGAAGTCACATCCTGAGATTCAACAGCACCAATGGCTCTTGTTAGCAGAAAATATAAAACTGTGTAGCAATTCTTTATTATTGTGTTACCTTAAACCATACAACATAGCTGGAATTCTTGAAAAAACAAAAGTCACACTCCCATGACTGTGACCATTAACTGCCCACTGGCCTCAAGTTAGCACAACTTTGCCTACCAGCTGTTCCATATGACCTCTCCTAAACACTTCACCACACATACCATCACCATCCAGGTCTTATCTGCAAATTCCACTTTCCAAAACATCCTCTGACTGTCACGTGCAGCAGGGAAAGAGGGAGAGTGAAAGTGGGTCATGAGAGCTGCCACGCTCTGCTGTAACACCAGAGACAGACGGGGACAAATGTCATCATCGTTGCATGCAGATCTCTCGACTGTGCTGCTACAAAACAAATGATGCTCCAACTGTTCAGCAGCTAAAATAACTGATAACACACTCCAAACAGAGAGATATTTGAATATATACGCCTAGAATCAAAGTGAAACAGTTCTGAACTGAAGGACGACAAAGACCATCATGGGAGCTCCTGATTATCTGTCATGAACAACAGAGTGTGCACAGACACGTGAGYGTTCCCTCTCAGCCACCGGGCATTYTCAGTTCATTCGTAGGCTGCACATCAAGGGAGCGAGAGTGGGCTGTAAAATGAGACAGATTGTTTTTTCTTCACACGACTCCTTTAGTGTTTGATATATTTAATCACTATTGCATTTACAAACTGGCTCACCACCCTGTTTGTCTCTACGAGTTATTTCTGACCATGTGTCCAGCTGAGACAGGAGGGGGCAGGCCTACTGCACCAACCTCATCCTCAGTTCAAGCCCTTTAATCCCAGGCCTGGCAACAGGGTGGCAAAGAGGAACAGCAGTGAAAGAGGAAGAAAGTCGCAGCAGTTCCTGTTATGGAAAAAAGTTGTTTATTGTTTTAATATGCCACATTCAACGCAGCACAGTTCTCTGAAAAATAACATTTATTCCCTGCAGCCCAGGATTCAGATAAGTGTTGATGTCTCTGTCAGARAAAAAGCTCCAAGGAGTTAAGTTACACAAGGTGACAGTCACCTGAACTTGAGGGCCTTTGGTCACGAACCAGTAACTAATGTTTAAAAGAACAGCAGAGGTGAGCTGCTCCCTGTTTAGCAGTTTTGCTTGGGAACCAATAAGAATGCAGGAAGGCATGTATGTTATGCTTGCTCGCTGGTGTGAAGAGAAGCACAATGAGGCCCAGCTTGGAACTACAGTTACCCAACTGGAAACGCTAACACAAAGGTCTGCCAACAATAACGCAAAATGTGCAGCGGAAGTTTCCATCAGCTACTGAGTTCATCAAAAAGTCACTTTGCCAGGTTTGCCTTTAGCCGTAAATCCTCTTTTCTGTCTGTTTACTGTATTTTGAGTCAAATGAACTTTAAACATCCAAAAAACACTCATCGCTCGGTTCTTGTTGTTACAAATTTCCCTGTCTTTCTGATTTTGTTTTTGTTCAACATGTGCATCAAAAAACAGGCAGGCAAGTCTTTATTCCCACACAGAGTGAGTTCATTAAATTGCTAATTCATCCTTTTGTTCTGTACCTTGCTATCCTGGGGTGTGTTGAGGATGTGCACAGAGCTGGGCTTAACACCATTGGCTTTGGTCCTCTTGTATAGCGCAAATCTGCTTTTCCGTCTACCCCGATCTCCGTTGGGCAGGGAGCCATTGTACCTGTCACAGAATGGGGGTTGGGGTGGAGAGAAGGGCAGCAAATTCACTTTTAATGTTTTTTTTTTCTGGATGAAAAGGCAAACAGCATTTTTATGGCTGAAAAGAGATGTGTGTAATGAGATTTACAAGCAAAATTCTTGTAATCTTGTAAAAAATACACATGGAGATTTAGAAACATTCGTGTTTTGAAAGGGAGCTTTTCCACCCATTACATCACTGGCAATCTAATACACTACATTAGTAATCTAAGCGCCACCTCGGATAATGTCTCTTATTACATAATGCACTCCAGGGCTGTYGATTTCAGTGAGCTTTAACTGTGAACTACAGTGATTTTTAAGCTCTGTGTCTCAAGCAGGAGCAGACTGAGGAATAGGGGTGTCCCGATCCGATATTGATATCGGATATCGGTCCGATATCAGCCAAAAAACGAGTATCGGATTTTATCGGCCTGCATAAAAAATTTCCAATATAAGCGCTCCGATATTAGCAGTCCGTTCCAGCAGTCCACTGACTCCGCTCCAGTGCTTCTATCCAGCAGCGCTTGGATCTAGCATGCAGCGCTCACGTGATCACAACAACATGCTGCGCTAACAAGTTAGCAAGAATATCAGCAGAACTTTCTATTTTCATCAGAAACAGAGTTGCAGCTAAGTGCAAAGTTGTTACGCACAAGTTTTCCATGGGAACACAGAACCATGAACGTTTTAAACCGGAGCGACAACTACTCTCCACCCTGGCAGCAGCTTTGAGGTTCGGCTCGGTTCAGCCTCGGTCCAAAACTCTCTCCATTCCAACCGAGCAGAACCTCCTCTCACTCCGGTGGTTCTAGCGGGCAGAAGCRAGGACAGCACGCTTTTTACGGTTTTGGCATCAGCAGAATGTTGCCCGTGGATTATCTCTTGATGGACAGAAGAAAGGAGAGCGTAGCTTTTGTTTTGGAATACGAGCGACATGACGAAAGCAGTGATAAAAACTGCTCCCTGCAGGAGAGAAAGGCTGATCTCCACATGATGCTCAGACTGTAGAAGGTGTTAATAATTAACTGACTGATTCTTAATATTTATTTTTGCTCTTGTTTGTAGAGTGATGTTTAATCTATTTACAYACTTGTTTTAGTGAAGATTAAGTGCAATGAATTTATTCATTCATCCCTAAGAAATGTGAATTGCTGCTAAGTTGCATACAGGTCCTAC